AGAACCACGAGGAGAGAGAAGCCGAGGCTGCGAGAGAAGGCCGGAGAGCCCAGGAGGAGTGAGGACTCACCAGGGCCTGGGAGGTCAGCCCGCCTCCCGCCCCCGGCACCCCTGCCCGCCGTGTACCTGAAAGATGTCAACTAGAGCCTGCAAGAGCCACCGAGGGCTCCAGGACCCTCCTTCCTTCCCCTGCCTGCGCGGGTCAGAGACCCTGCTGTCCCTCCTGCCGCTCCCCGCGTTACCCCTGACCGCTGGGACGACGACGACGCGCGGGCCCCGAGGGCTCCCTCACATCACTAGGGCTGCCGTGCACCTGCCCGGCCTGGGGTGGCTGCGGACACCTCCACACATGGTCGTTGCTTTTCAACACACGGTGGACTCAGTGACGTCTCCGAGACCATGACGTCTCCCTGTAAACCCCCGGGTTGAAATGGGGTTTATCCTGGTTGCTGTGTTTCGTCTGCTCTGGTCCGAGACGGCTCTGTGCATGGAGAGGGCGGGCGGGGGCAGGAGAGGAAGCGTGTCTTGGAACCAGGTTCCCAGCGGAGCAGGAGGGAGCTACTGAATGAGGAGAGCAGAGCCAGAAAGGAGGACAGAGAAGCAAAGGGAGGACGGGGCCACACCCTGGCGCCGCAAAGCCCCTGCGTAGCCTTGAACTCACCCTGGGCTTGTTGGGGGAGCGGGCGTGGAGCAGGGAGTTGGGGAGCAGTGAAAGACGCAGGCCCCGAGCGGGCACCGGGCAGAGCGGGGCCGGGGCTGGCTCAGCTGGGGCAGCACAGGGACGGCTTGGGCAGCAGGAGGCCAGAAAGTGGGGCCTTCAGGGACAGCAGGTTACGTGGTCATGGACACGCTCGGCAGGAGGAAGGCGGGGCCCGAGGCCCAGGAGAGACAGGGCAGGGCCCCGTGAGAGGCGAGAGTGGAAATAGGAGGAGGTGGAAGAAAATCACGTTGGAGTGAAGGCCAGACCCAAGGTGCAGAGGTCCTGGAATTCCTTCATTTGATGGACAATTTTATTCCCCAGGGAGCTCTGGGCTTGGCAGCGGATGGCTGGGAGACCCGGGGGCAGGCTGTGGGTGATGCTCTGGTGCTGGGACATCCAAAAGCCCATCTCCTCCTGCTCCCGGGGGGTGGGGACGCTTCTGTGTCATTATCAGGACGCCCGGCACCCTCTGAGGGCTGCAGCTGTGGCTGCTGCTGGGACAAGAACCAGGAGTGAGGGAGAAGTTCTTGACATTAGGGCCGAGGCTAGACGGCTCCGTGCGGTGGAAAGTGACGGAGTCTTCCGAGCCATCCACGCTCTCCCGGCTGCGATGTGCTCTGGTCATGCTTCTCTTTCTCTTGTTTCGCAGTTGAACGATCCCTTGCATGGAGGCTCGCACACCGAGCTTTAGGGAATTGCCTGGCAGCTCACGTCTTCACCCTCCACACGCTTCCTGTTCTGGGGTGACAGCTCTGCCTCCCAATCACCTTGACCTTCCAAGCTGTGGAATTCTGAAACAATGAAGTGATTTTGGAACAATTTGTGGAAAAAATACGACCACAGATCAGCACGTTCCAGTCTCCCGCATCCCTAATTTGCTCTTTTCACCACCCAAGAGGGAGCAGTCCTGTGGCTACAATGAGCATTTTGGAGAAGCTGAGTATCCGTGGACCTTCATGGAGCTCGGCACGCCACTACCCACTGCTCATTGTGAGGAGGAATGGGCAACGCGTGGATATAAAACTGAAGGCAACACATGGCACAGGCTGGGCCCTGGTTGATGGCCGCAGCTGAGTTCCCTGCTGGCGCCAGTGCCAATGAGCCTTGTGCTAAGCTGCTGACTTCAAAGTGTTCTAGTACCGAGAATTCGTCATAGAAGTCTCCAGAAGCCTGGGAGCATTGCCTGAATCAGTGGGTCACAGGGAAAAGGAACTTACTCCTTTTGCTAACAGCTGTTGCGGCTGACCTGTGAGGAGCCACACGTGAAAGGAACCCTCTTCCCTGAGCCCCGGACCTCATTCCCCTTTCACTGGCTGGAGTCACGCTGTTGATGTGTTGCTTCTTACTGATCTGCCTTCTCCGGTGAGCGCCTGCAGCCAGCGGGGTCTGTCCCTCCTGCTCCCGCTGGGTTATGCCCGGGGCATCGTGGATCTCCTCCCATTTGCTGGGTGCTGCTGTCTGCCCCTCTCCAGGGTCTCATCTCCAGAAGTGAGGACTCTTCCCAGCTCCCTTGCTTTCCACCTTGGAAGCCAAAAGTGGGACCTGCGTGAACAGGGGCTCACTGAGTTTGTGTTCGACAGCGAAGGCTCTTGCCTTTTCACTGACGACCTGTGGCACTGGCTTACATTCTATTACCCAGTTGTCTCTGTTATGGATTTATATAAAAATATGTTCTTGTTTTCTAAACACATGCTACTTCTTAATGACCTGGGAATGGGAAGGCAGGTGGTCGAAGACACTTGAGGCAATGTCCGCCAGGAACGGACCTACAGTTGAACAGATTGGAGTGTTAGTGAATGTGGTGTAGGGGTGGGGTCATGTACATGGGAAATCTTGGGGTGTCTGAGTAAGAGGAATCACAGGATTCGTGTTGCAGTCAGTGTTTTTGGGGCTTGGAGGAAGGGTAGCTTTGCTCGGCTGTGGAAGCTGCCAGGCGGTAGGTATTGGGCACTTAATGTTTTATCCTGAAGGGAGTGGACAGAAGAGACAGGAGCTGCGATTGGGAACGAAGCAGCAGCCTCTCCTATTACCCAGGACAGGGAGATGTTGGGCATTTGCAGTGTCTCAGTCCATCTTGGTGACAGAAAGGCTTTGATGTCTTGTTCCGTGACATTGCTTTAATGAAATCCACAAAGAACAAAGGGATAAATCTGCCCTTCTCTAGCTGTCCCCCTTGCCTGCAGCTGGTCCTCTTCCTGGGCCTGACCAGGTAGAACAAAGGCCTTTGCCAATCTCTGGGGCTGGGCCCAGCCCATGGAGACATTGGGCTCCTTGGTGAAGTTGTTTCCTATGGGCCTAGCTGCAAGTGTCAGGCCTGGAGGCCCAGGGCGCGGGGCTCCCTCACCGAGAGTCACGGAGAGAGATGGGGAGGCCTCAGCCTTGACTGAGCTGAGGCCCTAGGGAAGGTAAGTGATCTCAGAGCTGACAGTGGAAAAAGCCTGCCTGAAGCTCAGGTGTGACCTGTAACTCTGTGTAACACACACGTGTCCTTTATGAAGGTTAATTTTGATTTAACATGTTGGTCGTTACGGCCTGTAGGGGACATGGTGAATTCTTCTCTAATTTGGCCTAAATAAATGGGTCTGTTTTTTAAAATGTTCACTAGAGACTCACCTTCTTAAGGTCTCTGTTCTTCTGATCCCATCAGAATCTTTGCAGTGAATCACGGGTGTAATTTTCTTGGGCTCTAACACCTCAGATCCACTGGGCAGCAGTTATGCCCTCAGCTAGCAGACTGGGGCTCAGCAAACAGATTTGAGCTGGGGCGTGGTTGCAAGCATTTCAGTAAGATTGATTTCTGTTAAAACTTGGTAGAGGAAGGGCCTCCCCTGGTGGCGCAGGCGGTTGAGCGCCACGCTGTGAAGCTGTTTGCAGCCTCTGCAGCGCCTGTTCAATCCCAGCTGGTGGGCTACGGTCCCACATGGCGCAGCAGACCTCTCCTGTCTCGCCCGCTGCTCCCCTCAGCAGTGCATTTCAGTCAGTCTGCCTGTTCTGTTCCCTACTCTGTCTCTGGCACCCTCCCGCGCATCTGGCCTGTACCCCGGTTCTTATGTAAATGAATAAATAAATCTAAAAAAAAAAAAAACAAACTTGGTAAACAGGAGGGTAACAGAGGCAGAAGGCACAAGCTTTGAGGCCAGACATCCCTGGCCTCCCACTTCTCTGCTGTGTGACCTTGGGCTAGTTACTGAACTTCTCTGAGTCTCAGTCCCTTCCTCTATAAAGGGGAGATAAGTTTTCCTACCCAGGAGTTTGCTGAGAGGAGTCACCTGTGACAATGGGAACCATGTTGCTCACAAGTACCGTTCATGTCCTGTGTGGTGGCTCTATTTACTGCTACCGGATAATTGCCGCTCCCTGGTCATCCCTCTAGGTGGGGGTCTGTTCTTCCAGGGTGTTTGGGGTGGAAGGGAGACGACGCTGAGGGCTTCCCTGGGGTCTTCTTTTCATTCCTGGCTGAAGGGGAGATGCTGGTGTTGTGGAGGATTTGATCTGGATTCAGGTGAGCTGAGGTCTGTCCTCAGTTGAAGGAGGGCAATACTGAGGGCAATACTCAGGTGTATGACTTTGGACACATCTCTTAGTCTTTTTGAGTCTCCATTTGCTTGTTTATAAAGTCAGAATGGTGATGCCTGGACACTTTGCACCACCCACAGGTACTGTAGGAATGACATGAGAGGCAGTAGCAATCAACACGGTATTTATGGTGCAGGGGCAAAGTGTGTTGTGCAAGTGTGGCATCCGTGATAACAGGTGACATGTAAGCTTCCTAAGATGTACATGTGACCTTCTACGTTGAAGCTGCCGTTAGAAATGTAGGAATTGGAAATAAATTCTCTCCACAATGTTGCCATTAAAATGCATGTCTATAAAGCATATTCTTTTTGTTTCTTATTTTTCTTTGTGATAAAACATATCCAGGTAGAGATTTTGTGGGTTTACCTCTGTGTAACTGCCGCTCAGATTAAAATCAGTGTTTCTAGCCCGAGGAGGGATCATCTTGCCCCTTCCTTGCCAATGCCCCTCCCTCCAGGTCAGCCCTCCGTCACCACTGAATGGTTTTTCACCTGTTCTTGAGCTTCATATAACTACGTGTCCTCCTGCTCATGTCTGTCTTTGTTCTCATCATGATGATGAGGTTATCACCCCCGTCACCCCAGCCTTTGTCTTTACGGGGATGGTGGAAACGAGGCCTTTGATGACCAAGCGTCTGCCGTCTGCCAGCCATTATGTTGACGGGCACGGTGGCTGCTTCTGGTTTCTAGGGATGGCAAGTAAAACTCCCATGAACTTTCTTATCTTTTAATATGGGCTCTTACTATAAAATTACAGCTGTGTTTCCTAGAAAACATTTTGACCTTGGCAAGTAACAACAAGCATTTAAATGAAGGCATCCAGGGTAAAGCACCATACTAATTTCCAGTCGGCTCATTCTTGCAAGTAACTCACGTTGTAAAGCGGCGCTTCCGGCATGACTTGGCCTCTGGCGCCGGGTACATGGTCCACAGTGTTTTCATGCCGCAGAGTGGGAACCGTTAATGTGTTATAAAGTTAAAAAAAATTAAAGAAATAGAAAATAAGAGAAAAACTTGAGCTTTGTTGACTGGCTAAAGTGTAAGTATTTTGTCTTAGCCCTTTGCGTTCTGCTTGCAGTTATAAAGGGAAAATTGTCCCAAGCCTCGTCTGGACAGAATCCTGAGTGTGGTGAAGTCACGACCTCTTTCTGCAAAGAAATGAGCATTCCAGATGAAACACTGAAGTGCTTTCTGCTGGACTTTCATGGAATTAACCGCTTAAGCAAACCAGTTACCTGCTCGCCCAGATGACTGCATTAGTTAAGAATCAACTGACCTCTACCCGAGCATTGATTTTCTTGGCTTAGTCTCGCTCTAAGCATCTTCTTTTTTTTAAGTTCTCCACTGCAAATGGATGCTTTACCAAAGACTTTTTCATTTGTAGCCAGATTCTGAAAGTAACTCAGGAATGGGCTCCTAATTAGACTGATAAGAAGTTTCCTGAACACTGTGTAACACATACTTGTTTCTGTGGATCAGGATCAAAAAGGTGTGAAAGTTACTGATTTGTTGTATTTTTTTACAAAGGTAAGTTTATAACTCTAAGTTTCAATGACTAGTTTCTCACCCCAGCAACTGAACACGCATCACAGCACACCCACCCCCAAATATCCAGCACCCCTGTACCCACCAGAGGCCCCTCTGTCCCCCCCCTCCCCCAGTAACCAATATTCTGTGGTCAGAGTCTTTGCTTTTTCCCCCTTTATATTCCACAAACGAGTGAAACCATACAGTATTTGTCTTTCTCCTTCTGACTTACTTCACTTAGCATAATCCCCTCAAGGTCCATGTATGTTGTCGTAAAAGGTGAGATTACGTCCTTTTTATGGCTGAGAACTATTGCACTGTGTATATGCATCACATCTTCAGCCTTTCATCCATTGTCAGTACCATGGGTTATTTCCACATCATGTCCATTGTAAGCCGGGGTGATGGGGGGGTGAGAGGATTCACCAGAGAGAGTGGGGAGCAGAACAGGTGGATCTACTGAAATACACTGCTGAGGGGAGCAGGTGAGGCAGGGGTGGTCTGCTGCACCATGTGGGTTGCTCCCTGGCCGGCTGGGGATCAAATTCATGCCGAGTGTCTGGCAATAGCTTGATAGGGCTGTCTTTAACCCCTGTGCCACCAGGGAGGCCCCATATGGTATTTCTATTTTTACCTTTTTGAGAGCCTCCATCCTGTTTTCCATAGTGGCTGCACTGATGTGCATTCCCACCAGTGGTGTCCAAGAGCTCCCACGTCTCCACTTCCTCACCAGCTCTTCTGAAGGTCACTGAATTCAGGGAAGCATCTTGGTGGCTGATGGAGGGAACAGAACATGTGGGGCTCAGTAGTTTCCTGGATTCTGACACTAGATCTCCGTGGTGGTCAGAAGAAGGGGCCCTCACCCACAGACAGCAACTTTGAGAGAGGAGTTCAGGTGAGGGGCTGTGGCTGACACACAGATGATGCACACAGGCCCCTGCCAGGAAGCCCCTATGGGCTGCGTGGTCTCAGACAGAGCTGTCTGGTGTGGCCGACCGGGCAAAGGTGGGGTCTGAAGGTAGAGGCTGAGAAGCTGAAATCAGAAGCAGCCACTGGGATAACAGTCCATGGATCTTGGATCTTCTAGAAGGTTCTGGCCACGGCAAGCAGCAACTAGGGGCGTCACTAGATGGTAAGGTCCAGGAAGGCAGGGAGTTGCCTGTCTTACTCTGTGAGGTGTCCCCTGACACGTAGTGGGCCCACAAGGAACAAATCACCAAAATTGGCCCTTGCTTGTTCTCCAAGCCCTCCAGGAAGAGTGCTGTGGTCCTGCTGCTCCTTCCTGCTCTGCCTCCCCTCCCTGCAACCTTTTGGGAAGCGGCTCTTGGGCACGCAGGACTGTTCCATTTCCCCATGGGCCAGTGTCTGTGGCGTGCTGCGGCCATGACTGTATCACACACCTGGAGCTGTCGGGGCTCGACTTCACCCTCCAACACAGACACCTCCTGCAAATATCACAGAACACCAGCCAGGAAGTAACGATCCGTCAGGACTTTCTGGCTCTTAGTCTGGCCTGAATTTCCTGTCCTGCTTGCTGGTTAAAAGGAAAATAAGATAGTTTTGGTGAAATTCTCTGAGGAGAGGAGGGAAAATTCAAGAGTATTGCTGAAAATTTGAAAACTAATGACCTAGAATGGCCCTATACTTTATTATTTTTTAAATTAATTTATTCAAACTGTGTCCTTGAAACACATACCAAGTGATTTTGATGGATGAATCAACCAAACCAAGATGAATAGCCTGGTTGGCTGCACACATTTCTCATTCCAAGCCACAAGCCAAACTAAACTCGCCCTCACTTTATAGCTGCAAAATGTGCTTTGGAATATCAACTGCTGCATCCACTGCGGTTATTAAAGGGACAGTGACACGTGTCAGGGTGGACTGGGTTATACTTGGGAACAGAGTCCCCTAAACCTCTGCCTCAGTGATGACTGCAGTGGTTGCTCTGGGGTCAAGGATATAAGTCCAGCAATTCCATTTTTCTAGACTTTACCTGACAATCTCGGTTCGGTAATTCTGTACCTGATGTCAGTTTAAAAGCTATGACCCCTTCTTTCCCTCCCACCCCACTCAGTTAGGATTTTTATGGCCCCTGTATTTTACACCATGTGAACTATTCTCACAGTGACCCTGGACTGCGTAGACAATGGTGGTCCCGGTAGCCGATACCACTTAGCCTGGGTGTGCAGTGGACTGTACCGTCTGTGTTAGTGCGAGCTCACTCTGTGAAGCTTGCCCAATGATGAAATCACCCAGTGACGCATTTCTCAGACTGTATCCTTGTCGTTAAGTGATGTGTGTCTGTAATAAGAATTTCTTTTGGGGCAGATATGTTTAATCTTGTAAGAGGCATTGTGAGAATTGTAAAGTGCATGAGATTGACCTATTCCCCCTCAAAATGCAGAGGGCAACTCGTACACACAAGAGCCAAGTCAGGGGCCCACGAGTTAAACTGTGTGGGCAGAAATAGAAGAAGTTAAAGGAGATTTTACAATATCCTAGACGTGTGATCATGAAAGAATTGGAAAAATATCTCCTCCCTGGCCTTCTATTGTATTTTAGAATGGTAACTCACAGTATATCAATGTGTATATTTTTCTGATTTTCTTTTCTTTTTCTTTTTTAAAGACTTATTTATGTATACATGAACTGGGGTACAGGCCAGAGGTGTAGGAGGGCGATAGGATTCACCAGAGACAGAGTGAGGAACAGAACAGGCAGACTGACTGAAATACACTGTAGAGGCAGCAGCGGGTGAGACAGGAGAGGTCTGCTACGCCATGTGGGCAGCTGCCTGGATGGCTGGGGATCAAACTCATGCTGCAGAGGCTGAAGACAGCTTCACAGTGCTGTGCTTAACCCCTTGCACCACCAGGGAGGCCCTGATTTTTCTGGTTTTCATAGTGTATTGAGAAAACATTTTACCCGATTGGTGTTTCACTGAAAATTCATCAGGCACCCTTTCTTGTAATTCTAGTTACTAGCTATTTTTCTGTGATGCTAAAACAGATGAATGGAGAAAAATTCAATCATCTGTTTTTTGCTTACTTTGCATGATTGAATTTTAAACTCTTCTCCCAAGTGTTGGCAGGATGTAGACTGAGACATGGCAGTGATAGAGATTCTAATCATGGGTTAATGAAAGCTGCAAGGATAATCATGGACATGTTGTCTTCTGTTTACTGTATGACACTGAGATTAATTTTATTTTAATTAGGATCATTACTGTGGCCTCAATTTCCTTAACGAATGCCAGGTTAAGTTCATTACTTATTTCACAGCTGTGAATATTTCCATTCTTTGTTAACATTTGTCTATTCCAGAGATCAGATTTTTCTTTGTTTATGTAAGAATTTTTCCTTTTGTTTCATGCTTGTGATGTTCAGCTTGTTCATTCTGTCAAAAACTGAATAGAAATAGCATCTATGATCACTGTCCCTTAGGTTGAATGGACTCATTTGACTTAGGGTCAACTTTCCATCATCTAACAAAACTGATTATTTATTTATTTGTCTATTTTTAAAGATTTATTTATTTATACAAGAGCTGGGTTACAGGCCAGAGGTGCGGGAGGGTGAGACGATTCACCAGAGACAGAGTGGGGAGCAGAACAGGCAGACAGACTGAAGACACTGCTGAGGGGAGCAGTGGGCCCAATAGGAGAGGTCTGCTGCCCATGTGGTTATCTCCCGGCCTGCTAGGAATCAAACCCGCACTGCAGAGGCTATGGATAGCTCCACAGCGCTGCGCCCAACCTGCTGCACCACTGGAGTGGCCAAAAAAACTGATTTATTTTTAAGAATAGCCTTAGGTGACCCCTTCAGTTACGTCAAACACAAAATATCAATAATGGGCTGAACTGTACACCCTCAAATTCATGTTGAAGCTCTAACCCCTAATAAATCAGAATAGGACTGTATTTGAGGCAGGGCCTTTAAAGAGGTGATAAAGTGAAAATGAGGCCTCCAGGCTGGGCTATAATCCGATAGCCCAGTGTGACTGGTGTCTCTATGAGAAGAGATTAGACACGGACAGCAGCGGTGGGCACAGAGGGAGACCATGTGAGGATATACCTTGTAGGTGGCCTTCAGCAGAATCCAATCAATACTTTGATCTTGGACCTGTAGCTTCCATAACTGTGAGAAAATAAAATTTCTCTTGTTAAAGCCATCCAATCTGTAGTATTTTTTTTTTTTTATGGTGGCTCTTACCAGCTAATACAACTTCCAAAGACAAATTTATTGTTTCCCCATCCAAGCCCACTCACTCTGCGGCAGAGGCACTTGCTGTCCTCTGGTTACTGCGTCATCTGCCTGATAACCCTGCCTGCTGCGAGCAGGTGGGGCTGTGCACGCCTTCTGGTCTCTGGGCAACATGGACCACTTCCTGCTAAATCAATGAAGGGCTTGTCTGAGACCCTCCAACTATCTTGTCACAACAACCAAGGAGGTGTTGCTCCAAGAAGGTGGGGTTTCCATCAGGTCCCTGAGAGGCCACGCATTACAAAACATCCCCGCCAGTGTGGGCTGTGACTTCCAGTGAGAAACAACTCAGTGCCTTAAGGCTGGGGGTGGGGTGGGTGGGGGGATCTAAGTTATTTCTTAAGCTTCACTTTTTTTTTTTTTTTTTAATCACGACCAGTACAATGAGTTCTATGGGAGTATATACTTAGCCAATATTTGAATTCCTCTCACTTCATAATTTTATATCAGATGATCATCAGTCTTTTTTCCTACTTTCACAACATTCCACAGCCCCTCCCTTCCATTGAAGGGGCTGCCATAGTTATCTCCTTGAAGAAACAATGTGATGATGCTAGAACACTGTCCAGACTCTGTTCTAGGGCTTTATGAAGTCATTTAATCTTATTACCTATGTGATGGGTACTATTATCATCACCTTTTTCAGATGAAAAATTTGAGGTACAGAATTTACGCAATTTGTTAAGTTCACCCAGCTGGTGAGTGGCAGAACTGGGATCTGAACTTTGTCAACATGATTTCCACTACTTTAGAATAAATTCATGGCATTAAAAACATTACATTCTAGTTGCAGAGCATCCTCTCCACCTCTTCTCTCATAAAGGACAACCCACTATCCCTTATCACTTCTAACCTTTCACCCTAGTTACTGTCTAGATTACTTTTGTTCTCCAAGCAAATCCTGACTTGCCAACCTCTGATTGCTCAAGCTCTTCCACCGAACATGGTATTTCCTATTTTTTCTCATCCCAGGCCTTACCTGTCAACATCCTGTGAATTCTGTAATGTCCCACTCATTTGCCACCTCTTCCAGGAAGGCTTCCTTGGGCCCTCTTCATTCAGCATTCCCATAACCCCTTGCTTCCCTGTGGGCACTCATGGTTCTCCTATCTGTGAATGTATCTGTTTCCCTAAAGATAAACTCCCTGAGCATGGGACCATGCTTTCTTCGTCTTTAAATCTCCTCTGCAAGTTGTGAGTATAGCACATCACACCTAATTGTTGGATAATAAATGTTGCATGCAATTAATTGAAAGGAAATTTCCTTGGGTGCCTTGCCACTTGAAGAACAAAAAGATGTTTCCCTTCTCTCTTTGGTCACCATGCTTAGAATTCCCAAATCACTGTGTGAAAGTGACTTTGTTCACATCAGAACATTTTTTTCTTCATTTCTCTCTCTGCTTTCATTTCTCTGAGTTTGATGCTATCATTTCTCATCTGTGTCATGTTAGCAAATTGCTCCTTTGGTCTTTATATTAGAACTGAATTTCACTGGATTTAATTATTTCTTCGCTTCTAGGTATTGATTGAGTCTTTTATCCTAGTGGTACTTTTCAAGTATGTGGGAATATGTGTTCCAGTGAATTGAAAGGCAAGAAAAGGATGGTGTTCCTGCCTCTCCTCTTTTCCTGTCAGTCTCACCTCTGAGTATTTCATGAGGCCTTGGTCCTCTACTCTCAGGTGTGGGCAGAAAGCTGCTCAGTTGGTCATTCCCCCCAAGAATGTATCTGTGTTAATTACATGCTCACATGGGCATGCTTCTTCCATGGGGTGACAGTTGCCCTGTAAGATGGTGTCCGGTGCTTTTGCTTGTCACCTCCCTCACTCATTAGGGGTGCAATCCCATGTAAGTCATAAGATTTTGTGGACATGATGGGGTGTGACTTCCAAGACTAGGTTATAAAAGACATTCTGCTTTCACCTTGCTCTGTTAGATCTCTTGCTCTGCGGGACACCAGTAGCCCAGCTAAGAGGATGCAGCGCAACTCTGCATAGTGGGGTAGGCCTCCCATCAACAGCCAGCACTGACTGGGTAGTCCTGGGAGTCACCATCATGGAGCTAGACCTCCAGCCCCAGTCAAGCCTTCAGCTGATGGCAGCCCCAAATGATATTCTGTTTATAATTCGTGGAAGAGTGGAGTCAGATGAGTCCAGCCAAGATATTCCCAAAATCCTAATCTGGAATCCTAGAATCTGTGAAATGAAATATGTTTGTTTGTAAGCCACTGAGTTTTGAGATGGTTTGCTGCGAACCAATATATAACTCATAAATATTGCACATGAAGTTTGGTTTTACTTTGTGAGTTTATAGTCTTTTGCATTCAGTTCTAATAGTATTTGGGGTAATTACACAGAGTGTGACTTTACAGTAGAAATAAAAATCAGTGATCTAGAAGGAAAAATTGCCACAGTTTGTTCAGATGCTCAGTACAGACATGTTGCCTGAATTTCCTATTTCAGTTGTACCTGAGCACCTGGAACTGCCCCCAAGGTATACGCCCCTCTCTGCTTCACCCCCAGACTCCTTGTGCTCCTTCCCCAGTTACCCTCATCTCTCTCATAGGTGCCCAGAGGCACCTACCAACTCCAGGTCAACCTGGACCCCCGAGCTCTTCATCTACCTGACTGCTCTGGTGAGGCAGCTGTGACTTCGATGAATTTGCTGAAATATTTCCATCAACCATAGAAGGAGCAAAAACATGCTGAGAAACCTCTCTAGGTACAAAATCGCCAAAGAGGACAAATCTTTTGGCAACTAAAAGAAAGCGCTAAAATCAGTGGAGTCTGCATTTCTTTACTTAAAACAAACTAGCTCCATGTCCACACTGCCATACTAGAAAAACCAGAAACAACAAATGCTGGCGAAGATGTGGTTAAAAAAGGAGCTCTCTTAGCTGCTGGTGGGAATGCAGACTGGTCCAGTCACTATGGAAATCTGTGTGGAGGTTCCTCAGAACCCTAAAAACGGATCTACCACATGATCCATAGATTCCACTCCTAGGAATCTACTCAAAGGACAAAAAACACTAATTCAAAAGGAAACCTGTGCCCCTCTGTTTATCACAGCCCTGTTCACAATAGCTGAGATACGGAGACAACCCCAATGCCCCCAAACAGTGAAGGGATCAAGAAGATGTGGTGCATACACACAACAGAATACCACTGAACAATCAGAAAATATAAACTCATTCCCTTTGCAGCAACATGGATGGAGCTCAGTGAAATAAGTCAGAAAGAAAAAGATAAATATCAGATGGTCTCGTTTACATGTGGACTATGGGGAAACCAAGCAAAGGGTTAGGCAAAAGACACACCTTGCAAGCTGACCGCAGATCTGAGACATGGGGACGGGGGAGTGGAGGGGTCAACCAGGGCAGGCAGGAGCACAAGGGACTGTGGTGAAGGTTCATGGGTGCCGTGGTGGTGGGAGAACCGTGGGGAAGATACCTGAGGGAAGAAATCAAATATTTTCCCAAACTTTACAACAATGTATGAAAATAAATATAAAAAAATGTGTGCAGACATTTCCAAATGTTCCCAGGGAGCAAAATTGACCCTCACTGAGAAACACTGAAATAAATAATATTTTTATGTAGTATATACATAAAATGTAAAAATTCTTTTGAATATTTTAGATATTCCATAACAAAACAAGGTTCAAAAGTGATGAGTAGAAGTATCACTCTGCGAACAAACAACTTGCTCCAGACACCGAGGACTCCATGTCGGGGGGCCTCCCCAATACTCATTACCTAATGAGTAAATGAAATCTCCAGCTTACCTGACAAGGCAGACACTTTGGCAAGTACATCTAGATCCATCCACAAGTCACGGGCTGCTTCTCTCTGGCCTTGAAAAAGGTGACCTCCTGACCCCTGAGTGTTCCACAGGTGGCAGAGGCAAGCTGCAGCACCTGCTTTACACCCCAAATCTTTCCCGCCTCCCCCGTCAGTGCATTCTTACACCCTGATACGATTATAAAACCTGTGCTAACAGTTATAAATAGTGCATTGGAGACACTTATTCAATTAGTGGGAGTTCTGCGTCGCCCTAGAGGTAAGGAGTGTGGAAAAGTGTGTAAAATTCTGTAAGGATAAATTCTATTACTTTAGAAAGATAGAAACTGAAACAAACACATGAAGTGTCTACCTGCTTCCTGCACAATGTTTAAGAACACGAGTCATCTGTAACTTAAATATTTGCTGTGGATCTGTATGATTTAGAGAGAATGAGAGTTAAAATCCACATGGTGAGTGTATTCTGTATTCAAACCGTACTGGGTAATTTAGGCAAGAAAATATACTTCGTCGATTTTGATTCAATCTGCAGGATACTGCATTTGCCAACACTCCACTTGGCTCTACTCTGCACAGATAGGTTTTCTGGAAAGCTAGAATCAATCATTCCAGTGACAGGGATGCACACACCTGCCCCGCCCGCCGACGTCACTTCGGGTTGGAATCTGCTCATGCTCACTAGGCACGGACAGGTCAGATTTGGCTCAGGGCGCGTTGACAGTGCCCTTCGATGGTAACTTATTGGAGGCCAGTGTCTAGAAACAAAAGGGTTCTGGTCCTCTCACCTCCTTGGGATGCTGGTCAACTCTGGGCCTGCCTGGCTGTGGCCCTAACCTGGGAGGCCTGGCCTGGGACCCTGGGTCTTGACGTTCTTGTCCACGTGGTCTGGGTAAGGGAGCTGCTGCCTGGGCCCGTGGGGCAGGGTCTCCCCTCCAGCCCCTGTCCTCTCATCCCTGGTCAGACAACCCCCTCAGACTGGGTCCAGGTCACAGCTCGCTCCTGGGGCAGAACAGTGCACGATGGCCTTTTCCTGCTCACAGTGTGCGCCCCGACCTGGGCACAGTGTGTGTTTACCAAGCTGTCCCGACCCCACCCCAGGCCACTCCAACAAGGCCTATTGTGTTACTGAAAGCGCGTGGAATTCCTCAAACAGAAACTCACATGAGAAGCAGGAACCAACTCTCCGAGTGTTTGTTCCTCTCGGGGTGGCTGGGGAGGGAGGGCACATATCCCCCCACAGATGCCCCTACACACGCGGGCGACCCCCACGCCTCTCTGTAGCCCAGCAGCCACCTGAGAGAGACTGTGCAGCCTCACGGAGGGGACGTGGCTGTGGGCGGCTGAGGGGGCCACCTCAGGAGGCGGCGCGGGCACCCTGCAGCTCACCGCCCTGGGGCTCAAGGAAGCCTCGCGCCTGCAGTTTCGTTACCTTTTGGTCAACATTTTAAAGTGAGATTTCACATGGAAAAACCCATTTCTGGATTCTCTTGAAAATCCAAAGACACGGTCTGTCTTGCATAGACAAGGGCCTGGATAGACACTGTCGCCTGAGGATGTGCTGGTATTTATTTAATCTTTAAAACAATTTTAAGTTGAAACGGCGTTACAATATATGCCTTTCTCGAGTTCATCGTCCAGCGCCGCGACGGCCACTGCTGGAGTCCACATGCTTCCTTCAGGTCATTGTGTCCTTTCTCCTGTTTGCTGAGCCCCCACCCTGACTCTTCTGGTGAT